AAGAAAGTGCACCGGTTCCCAATTCACTCCGTTGTGAGCTGCTGTTAGCTTTAAAAGCATATTGGCCATTTGATCCTGAATTTTGGGACTGGAAGACTTTAAAGCGACATTGCCTTAAACTGTTAGGGAAAGTAGCCTCTGACTCGGAGGATGACGCAAGTTGTAATATGTCAATCAATGAAACCGACATGTTAGAAACTTTCTTTAGTGACTACGATGAGGCAAAAGAACATAAATATTATGATGGGAAAGACACAATAAACCACCCTAAAGAAAAAGCAAGAGTGAAAAAACCAATTGGTTCTTCAGAAAGATACCAGAGATGGCTTCAATACAAATTTTTTTGTGTGCTCTGCAAAAGGGAGTGTATCGAGGCTCGAATACTGCACCACTCTAAGATGCATATGGAAGATGGTGTTTATACGTGTCCAGTGTGTACAAAGAAGTTCAAGAGAAAGGAATTTTTTGTACCACATGTAATGGAACATGTTAAAATGCCACCTAGTAGAACACACAGACCTAAAAAGAAAATATTGCTGAAAAAAGAGAGATCACCACAAAACACCACAGCTTCCAGCAGCCCTCCCCCAGTCTTTCAGGAAAAGTCGCATCAGCCACAGCTGCCCAAAAACTTTGAAAACGACGCACAGGAATACGTCACTTTTAGCCACCTGGAAAATTGCCAGCTACAGGACAGAGACATCTATCCGTGCCCTGGAACGGATTGTTCTAGAGTATTTAAACAGTTTAAATACTTAAGTGTACATCTGAAAGCTGAACACCAAAACAACGACGAGAATGCAAAACACTACTTGGATATGAAAAACAGGAGAGAGAAGTGTGCTTTCTGTCGCCGCCACTTCATGACATCCTTTCATTTGCGGGAGCACGAACGCGTGCACTGTGGACCTCAGCCCTATATGTGTGTGTCAATGGATTGTTATGCTAGATTTGGGTCAGTTAATGAGCTTCTCAATCACAAACAAATGCATGATGATCTTCGCTATAAATGTGAGCTAAATGGCTGTAATATTGTTTTCAGTGACTTAGGGCAACTTTACCATCACGAGGCACAGCACTTCAGAGATGCGTCATATACCTGCAGCTTCTTTGGTTGCAAAAAGTTCTATTATTCAAAAACTGAATTTCAGAATCACCTTGCAGTGCATAATATTGACGTGTCAAATGGGGAAGTGAAGCAGACACTAAAACTCGAAAAGTCAGTTTCAAAAGACAAATGCAGTTATCTTCCAGAGTCTCAACTGCTTGAACAATCGGAAAATTCCAGTGTGAATGGTAACTTGGATCCCTCAGGCTCTCATGAAATTCCACAGATTAAGGAAGAAGAGCTCTCTGACAGTGAAGATCTAGACAGTGAAAGTAATTGCAGTCTTCACTGTGGAGACCACGGCACCGATGCTGCAGTGAACCAAGGCCAGGCGTCTCCTCTGCTGATTGAAACAACGGCTCACAATCAGTCAGTTCCAGGTTTTCTCATGTCCCAGGAAGGAGTCTTCCATCCAGCAGATGTGAAGCAACAGTGTTCCAATGTGGCAGTTTGCTTTGATGAAAAAAACCTTTCCTGTGGTTTTGAAGGCTGCTGTTCCACACACAGAAGTTCCAGAAGTATGCAAAAACACCTTCGCAGGGCCCATCCATATCGCTTTAAAGGTAGAAGAAATACGGAGATGAAAACGAAAGACTTTCTCAATCTGTTGAACGACACTCAGGGCAGTAAATCCCCTACAGACATTAGTACAGAGTTAGGTCATAATTCAGATACAAATGCTGACTCTCCAGAAAGCCTATATTGCACTATAGATGCTAAAGGAAGCAATGGCCTGAGGGAGGAAACTTGTCCTGCTTCCCCCGAAACATCTTTTTATGGCAGTTCTACAGAAACAAATATTGACGATAACATGTTGGAACTAATGTTAGGCTTGAAACATCTAAGCTTAAAAAATTCTAATGTTCAGAATTCTTCAAGACACAAGCCTTTTCTGGGCTCTTTACGGTCCTGTTCATCTAGGGATGCCAAGTGCCCTGAGTCAGCAGATGAAACTACCTCAAAATTTCAGTTTCAAGAGCAACAAGATAACTTAACCAGCCAGTACCTTACTCAACTGGCAGCTAAACCATTTTTCTGTGAACGTCAAGGATGTACCTGTGAGTTTGTGACCAGAGAAGCTCTCTTAATGCATTATGTTAAAAAGCATAACTATTCCAAGGAAATGGTTCTTCAGTTAAATATGTTCCAGCATCGGTACTCACCATTTAAGTGTCATATTTGCCAAAGAGCATTTACAAGAAGAACACACCTGAGAATTCACTATAAAAACAAACATCAAATGGGCTGTGAGAGGGTAGCTCACAAGATATGTTCTAATGAAAAATTTGACCATGTAGGTTTATGTACAGACAACATGCATAAAAATAGCACTGTTCCAACACCTGTCTGTGCAACCAACGTTGAATTCATTGAACATTCAGGCCACTCTGAACAGCTGTGTCATCCGAAAAAGGATGACTGTAGTTCCGAGACGGATTTGGAGTCCAGTGAAGAGATAGACAATAATGTAACAAGAAAATCATCTAACATGGCTTCTCTGGACAGTCATAGGGAAGTACTGGAAGCAAGACAGGGAAGAGGAAGCAAAAGAACAGTCGCTAAAGGAAACTTATGTTACATCTTGCATAAGTACCACAAACCATTTCATTGCATACATAAAAGTTGCAACTCTGCATTTACCAACCAGAAGGGTTTGATTCGCCATTATAGAACGGTTCACCAGTATAATAAGGAACAGCTCTGCTTAGAAAAAGACAAAGCCAGAACAAAAAGGGAAATTGTCAAATGTAAAAAAATATTTGCATGCAAACACAAAGATTGTGGTAAGCGTTTTTTATGTGCTAAAGCTCTTGCTAAGCATTGTAGCGACTTCCACGATGAACACTTAGAGGATCAAAAACTGCTTTCTGAAGCTGAATCTGCAAGATTTGCTTGTAACCAAGCCCATTGCCCTGCTGTATTTTATACCTTTAATAAGCTTAAACAGCACCTAATAGAAGAACATGCCAATGAAGAAAAATTAGACAAAGATTTTGAAATCCATTGTGACCTTAATGGCTGTGATCGAATTTTCACAAATTACAGTCACTACTCTCAACATGTATATTTCCGACACAGTGAGTATTACGATAGTCTCTTTGGAAATCGGCGGGAGGAGGAGGAAGATAATGAAGATAAAGATAAAAATGAACAGAGTTATTTGAAAGACGGTTTGGACATGAGCAAGCAGAATGGGAAGCAGTTAAAAGTGAAATCTAAAAGAATTAGCAGAAGTAGAGAAAAGCATTTGTTGAATTTCAAGACGAAAGAGGAAGCCCTACAAATGTGCAAAGAGAAGTCTAACCAGACCCAGTACCCTTGCATGGTTCAGGGATGTTTGTCTGTTGTCAAATTGGAAAGCAGTATAGTAAGGCACTATAAGCGCACACATCAGATGACCAATATGTATATAGAGCAGCGGATTCAGAAACTTGTTGTTTGTGTGAAATGTGGCGTAATGATTGAAAAACAGTCCTGCTCCGAAACGGCTTTAGACTCGGATAAAAAAGATGTAGAAGTTAAAGAGGATAAATCAGCTAATCCTGAGTACCTGCAGGAAAGTGAAAAACCTCTTGTTCCAAATATGGACTGTGATCCTCAAGATGTAAGCAATGAAGACCAAAAAAGATCTCCGTCGAGTAGTGTGAGTTTTGATGCGAATGCCTTTATGTATTCGGGCACTTTAAAATACAACCACAGTTCAAAGAACACCTCTTTTGAAGAGCATAACGTCAGGGAGACAGTTGGGGGTAAACCTGAAGAGTTTTCTGAGAATAGTGAGAGAGGGGATGGCTCTTACTTCTCAAGTTTACAATTAGAGTTGCCAAGAGAGAAAGACCCAGAAGGACATCAACATAGTGTAGCTAATCAAAATGCAAAAAGAAGTGTACTTTGTGCCACAAAAGACAAATTTCAGAAGCCTCCAGTGTCCAAACCATTTGATTTAAAGACGTATAAACCAATGGGATTTGAGTCTTCATTTTTAAAATTCATTCAGGAAAGTGAGGGAAAAGATGACGATGATGATGATGACCTTGATGAGGTTGTAGAATGGGAGTCTCCTGAGCAGCTGCCAGTAGATAAAACCTTGCAAAAAGAAGGAGGCGGTCAAGGGGATACACCAGTAAATGACTTTGCAAATGACAAAACTGTAATCATACCCCAAAATAATCATGGGCGGTTAACAGAGATCCAGCCCTTGTTGTCAGAATCGTCATCTGCCCCTTCTTTAGAAAATTTGAGGGCAATCTTAGACAAGGCACTAACGGACTGTGGAGACCTTGCCTTAAAACAGCTTCATTACTTAAGACCAGTGGTTGTTCTTGAAAGATCCAAATTTTCCCTCATAGACTTATTTCCAACAAAAAAGGCAGATGAGCTTTGTGTAGGAAGTACGTAAGTAGTTTCGCTTAGAGCAGATTGCCTCCACTACTGCTATATGGGGAGAACTTCAAATTAAAACAATAATTGTTACAGTACACACTGTTTAGGTTAGTTTAGGCTGTTTAATTCCATGAATGTATAATATCTGTCAAAAGTATTGGCCAAGTTAATTTAGCTCCCCATTTTTTTCAATGGACTACGCAGATTTTGGTGCTATTTAACAACACATCAGAATACTGGGGGCTTCCTCTTAAAGAGTAAATGTGCATGATTGTATATGGAACAAGTACTAGGGTACCAGGGTTTGGGGGGCGATGGAGTTATTACTTGACTTGAATGTGCACCCTAGGGTGCTTTGTGTAACATATTGTACACTACAGCATCTTATATTTTTTGAGTTATGAGTTTCAATAAATTACAGTTTTTCACCCATTTGTTTACTGTACAGTAAGTCTTTAATGTCATTTACCTGTAATTGAATTTGGGACCATTCTGAGTGCATTGGACAATGTCGCGTAAGTTTTATGCATTTGTAGATAATTTATCAGATTGATGAAACAGTATAGATACTGAAAAGTAAAGTGTTACTTTTTATTTTATAATATTCTCTGTGCTTTTTTCAGACTTGAAAGAGTTATAATTAGTACAGGCAGAAAGCACTTGCCACTTAGAGATGAGAAAGTCCTAGTTACCTTTCCCTTTAAAGGATGGAGATGCTTCTGGGCGTGCTTGATACACCACCAGTGTTTGAAGTGCATTGGCAGACTTCCGATAGAGTTGTGTTACATGGAAGTGTCAGTGCACGTTTTGGGTTCCCTGGTTAGCTTTTTGGATAATAAATAAAAACTAGTTGGAAGATTCACCAGAAGAGTAATCTAGTATTTTAAGATCTGTTTCTCATTCGTCTGTGTCGTGTTTCTTGCCGTACTTCTGGATACATTGTGAGGCCCAGAGTCTGCTTCCCCTGTTAGTGGTATTTCGCAATCTCCATGAGGATGCTAACGAACAAGCAGCAATCACAGCTTCTTCCTGACTGAGGGCTTGGGTTTTGTTGGGGTGGTTTGGATTTTATACTGTGATCTCAAAAAGTAGGAGTGGAAAGGAAATGGAGAAGACTTGGGGAAACGTCATTTAAAACAGCCTGTGAATATTGCCTGGATGCAGGAATGAAGAAGGCTGGCTAAAAAGCTATCTGGAGAACTGTGCTATGACCAGAACTAGGCAGAAACAGCATCTTCATCCCACACTTAGAAAAGTTGTTTGGGCATTCTTTAAAGTTAGATTAAAATCCATACACTAAGCAGAGAAGTGTAGTTTATTGCATATCTTTTCCTGTAGTTTCTCTAAGCTGTAGGCTTCTTGTAATGTAAGGAATATGGTGCGTGATTCTTCTCACTAGCTTTTAAAAATGGAAGCAAGTTAGGTTCAAAAGGTTAAATACTGCAACAGGGTCAGACACCCGAAGTAGCTGAACTGTGTTCCAAAGTGATTTTGTCTCTTAAAAAAAAAAAAAATTACCTTTTAATGTCAAGTTTTCTTCATGTTCAAACATACTTCAATCTTCAGGATCTCAAAACAGGAGAAGAGATTAATGGAGAACTCAGTAAACAGGTGATGACTGCCGCGGGTCCTGGGCCTGGAGAGGTAGCAGTACGCCGCTGGGTGTTTGGGCGTCCCACAAAGCCATCTGTCCCTTTCCGTGCCTTGAGAAAGAGAACTGGTCAGCACAAACAGTGAATTTGATGGAGGTTTTGAGTCCTCAGTTTCAGATCAAGCAGTTGTATTTTGACTAGATAACCAGAGCTTCGAATACGACAGTATGAATGAATTCAGGCACTTAAAATACTTACTTTGAAGGAGAGAAATTAGATGAGAATGCAGGAATGAAATGAGACACAGAATGTGTGTATGCTACAGACTGGAGAAGTGGTGAGACAACGGCAGTGTGCAAGCTTTTGCTTTGTGTAGTCCTAAAAATACATCACATCTTTTAAAAAGTAGTCTTGATGTCATTGATTGCTTTGTACCTCTTAAAATGCTGTGAGTACAGTCAGGAAAATGAAAATGATTAAATGCAAGACTCAATGTGGTAAGAAATTTGCTGAGTTGTAAGAAAGCAGTGAAGAACTTTCTACATGGGGAACAGCAAAGAAACAGAAATAGATTCCACCAAAGCAAGTATCTGCAGACTTGAAAGTTCGGAGACAATTTTGTGATGACTCCTTAGGCTAGCAGAGTCCCCTCCGAAGGTAACACGTCTGTGTGTTCTGAGGCAAGTGCGTACTCTGATGCTGACTGCCACTTCCATCCGTGAGCACGCGCTGACGGACGCCTGCTCTGTGCAAGGACCGGGAGTTGTCTTGAGTGACCTGTGGACAACTCGGTTTTCATAAGAAATTTGAAAGGTGATACTCCTCCATGTTTACACAAGCCAGAAAACAAGAAACCTTCAAAATGGGATTTATTTCCCATAAAGTGCTGCTTTATGTGTAGATGCAGCTTTTGGTAAATGGGGTATTTAAGGTAGTACGTTGCAAATCATGTTATCTTATAGCTTACTATTTTTTAATAGTAGTTTTGGAGTAGTTATAATGTCTTTGCAAACCTGAAGACATTTAAACACAGACTTTTTGCTTTCCATTTTCATTGGGTTGGTTGACAGTTGCGTAACTGACAGGTAGCAATTTGATTAACGAGGGTAACAGTTCAGTGGGATCATTTTACCTATACACAAGAAAACTTTTCAGAGAAGTTTGCATTTATTCTTTTAGATGTCATTCATACACTATTCACTAGGCCTTCCTCTAATGAATACTTGAGGTTCTTGGAGGGCAGAGATGTTATGGAATGGTACGGCTCCAACTGCAGGTCTGAGCCTTTCCCCTGTTGTCCATGCTGTATTTTATACCTGAAGCCGGGTGAGATTTCACTTTAACTGCCTGGTCACAATTTCCTTCTCTTTCTTTTTACACATGACCAATACTCAAGTTTGATTGTACTTCAACTTTCTTCAAGTTGTTTTCTTTCTTTCCTGTTGTTGCCTCTTGGAGTCCGCACTGATGACTTTCTGTTCCATAGGAAGCCACAATCACAGATCCCCAGTGAACAACCTCAGGGAGTTTGTGAATTAATTCTTCTCATAATTAAAAATATTCTGGGACACAGAAGTTGTCCAGAAATAAGGAACAAAAGAGTTTCTGCCTGGCATGGGTGAAGCTTTTCTGTGTGAAAGATAAAAACTTCAGAAGAGTTGCCCTAAGGCTGTTGGATAAATTGCCACGTGAGTGAAGGCTGATGGCAAATGTCCGTCTTCTCCACTGTAACTGACGGTGCATCTGTCCGCCCGTTCCGACACGGCTGTCGGGATGGGGTCACAACTTGCTGTCCAAAGCAGCAACTCAGAGTGCAGGCTGCCTGGAGGTACCGTGTGTCCTTGCAGTGTGCCTAACAAATAAAATAAAATACAGAGTAGTGCAGCCTTGCCTCTCCTTTTGGACTGTTGCTTCCTCCTTGCTTCTGTCGAGCTCCCAAGTCAGGGGTCACTTTAAAGCAATGACTTTGAATGAGTTTGCGTTTCTTGTATACTGGTCAGACAAGCTCTGCTGCAAACGTGCCACCAAAGAACTGTACCAAGTCATACAAAATCACGTTAGTACACTCCTACTGTGTTTAAGCTGTGTATTAAAGTTCTTCGGTGTTCAGCTTTCCTATTAAAAAAACTAATCCTGCCACTTGTTGTATAAACAAATTTGCATATTAAGCATGAATTCTGTGACAGTTGTAGTTCTTTGATCCCAAGGAACAGTCATGTGTGAAACTTTTAATTTCTTGAAGGTATTCTGCTCTTACCAAACAAGAGTTACTGCGTGTGTGTAAATTACCACCACTATACACAGGGCGGGCTTTTCCAAAGTGCATCTCTGAAGTGTTTTATAGATCCCGTTGAGCAGGCTACTGCTGTTCCTTAAGTTACTGCTATTTCCATGGGCTTGAATATGATGCAGGACAAGCTAAAGAGACAGACATCGTTTTTGTCAGGTATGGAGCCAGGTCCCACGGTATTCTTCAGACCAAGAATTGTGTTTAGAAAGTGGCGAGTGGGTTCTCCGCAGTGGTCGTACGCAGCATCTCAGTGGCATTTTCCCCGATGATGTGGCATCCCGTGCACTGCTGGGATTTTTAACACTGTGGTCTCAAGTGGTATTTGTATGTCTGCTGAAAGATGCCAGGGTCGCACTGGTCTGTCAGCTACGTCCTAGTTACAGAAATAATGTCTCACCCATTGCAGATGCCAACAGTTTGTTTCAGCTATTGAGCTCCACTTCTTTATAATCTACAAAATGCAGTACCATCTTGGTGAGGTAATAGATGTTACACCATCAAAATTGTACACATTAAATCCACATCCTGATCCCGATTTCTTTTTGGGCTGCTTGACCTGATCTTTCTAATTACCTAGCACTGGTGGGTATCGGGGGAAGGGGGCCAGAACAGGGTAAAGCTCTGAAGTTAAGAGGTTTTACTGTCTATTTCTGTTCTCATGTCATCGAGTAGGCCATCATTTTTCCTTCCAAGTGCCACCAGAACCTGTCTCCCAGTGAAGATGCAACATTTCCAGCTTCTGGGTTTCACACCTACGGGAGAAACCATTTGTTCTGCAGTAAGGGAACACCATCACGTTGACTTTCTAAAAAAGGATCCTTGCTGTCAACAGCATATACCTGAGAAAATGTAGGTGCTAGTTCCTAATGATGGTATGTTGCTTACATTTTTTTAAATTGTTGTCTTCAGATGCGTAGATTTTATAGGAAAACCACATGTTTATTGGTTGTGCGTGCCTAAATTCCTCAGGCTGTGGGCTGCCCTGCCATGTTCCCATGGGTAGTAAAAAACTGAATGCCGTTAGAAAGAGAGACCTTGTAGGCTGACTTGGGTCCTCTGGCAGGGGTCTCCGCAGAGCCCGCGGGTTAGCGCAGTGTTTTCACGTGTCTGTTGTTTTCTGGCTGTCCTTGTTCATGCAAGATCTTTGAGTTTTATGATGCCAATAAAGCCTTGTGACACTGTATTTCACAAATTCTGCATCCTGAATGCAGTGAATTATTTGAGGGAAATTCAATTTCCAGTTAAGTCCTAGAATGTCTTGTCAAGATCTCCCCTGGAGTTCACAGCTGGTGCCCTGAGCCCTTCAGCTATCCTGGCTCCCCACAGCAGTATTCCCCCAGGTTTTTTCCCTATGCCCACATGAGTTTAGAGGGGTGAGGGTGGGGTAGGAGAGCTGCTGCTCTTCCCTGAAAATGTCTTAAGATTTACAATTACAGGGAAGGAAGTAGGGAAGGGATTAGTCAGGAAGCCGTGTGGTGCCAGGGGTGATCTCCCTTGGCCAGCTTAGATGAGTTGCTGAATCTTCCTCTAGGAAGGGAGAGAAGCGACAGCGAGTAACAGCTCGCCGAGAGGAGCACTGCCTTGTCGCCCATGGCAGTTGGCAGGGATCGTATGTCTTCTGGGGGGACATACCAGATTACAGAAAAGATAAGGCTGGGTTTTAATGTATGTGACAGGTCCTTCTGCTAAATAGTTACAGATGATAACTGGTAGAAAATGAGAAAATTAAATTGGCATTATTTTATTAAAAGTCAATGATTAAAAATCCACAGACAGTTTCTGTTATACTTTAGACTGGTAGAAATAAGACTGATAGAATAAGACCGATAATGAAATGCTCCCTCAATAATTGTCTAAAAAGGAGCATTCGTTAACACCCCTCTTAGTGCATCTCTACCAAGTTACACATTCTGCGTGCTCTGCATGGTGCGTGTGTCCCCAGGAGTGCTGGGGCAAGCTCTGTGGAATTCAGCAGTGCCTGTGCTGTCTTCACTTAACATTACAGATACCAAATAGAGAGTGTTTTGACTCTAAATAAATATTTGGTCCCTTGTAGGGCTCTGTAACTTTCTATTTCCCAAAACATCTTCAGTTCAGAAAGGAGGGAACCTGCTTGCCTTCAGAATGCACTGTTAGGCAAAAACTATGACAAGAAAGGCTTAAAGTGTTTTAATGCTGATGAGTTGTTCAGTCCTTGCCACAAAACCATGTGAATGTGGGAGCACAGGAGGGGAGAGAGGGAGAGAAGGGTGTTGGCGCTCTGCCGTTGATGGCAGTGCTGATACAAGGCAGCATCAAATGCTCACCTGAGTTGAGCTGAGGCAGTAAATGCGTCATTGCTGCCCAAAGGAGTCTGCTGCTCCGTTCCCAGCTGTGCTCTCCTGCCGTCTCCTTTGTGCCAGCTCCAGCGCTTCTGTGAATTTGACTACTTGAAATGTTAGAAAACAAACCCGGCAACAGTAACATACAATTCAGTACCTTTCTACCGTTACAGTGCATGGAAATAGGGCTGCAACTCAAAGATACTAGTTATTAATGCTATACAGTTAATGGGAGGGATTTTATCCCGTTTGGATGCCCTTGTGTCCTTGCTCAGGCCTGCTGCTCACTTGTGTCGTGGCATCTCTCATTATCCCGATTTCCCAAATTCCCTATTCTGGTCGTCTAGGCAGGCTTCCCCTCTTCTGTGCTCTGGTCTCTGTACTCCTGTTTTCTTCCTACGCTACAACTCATCTCGTTTTCCTTTACAAGAGTAAACCCAGGTTTCATCTCCGTACCCAGAAGTGCAGGTCCTGCCCTTTGCTTACTCAGTGAGAACGGGATCGCCAAAAAGCAACAGCTCAGACTCCGGAATCGCAGCCTTCCCAGTGGGAATGTGCCTGACTGTGCTCTGCCAAGGCCCTCTCTACGCCCAGTTCCTTCCACTACGAGCTATCACGGTCCTTCAGCTGAGTGAAGGACTGTTGGGCACGGACTTATGGCTACCTCAGCGCATCTCTGGGGACAGTCTGCAGCAGCTGCTTGTCTCTGGCAGATCTCTGGTGGCTCGACCAGCAGGGACCAGTTACCTTGAATTCCTCTGTGTTTTTAAAAAGGAAAGAACCCACATTCTGGGAATTCCCCTGCAGCGATATCTGTCTGTCTGCAATGTGGAGTCCCAGAGCAAGCAGCCAAACTAATGACTTTGTGGAGTGTGCGTTGTGCCAGCCTGCTTTATTTTAAGAAGGACTTAACAGAGGTTACTCTAGTAGAATTAGAGACAACAATACTGCATTGCAAGGAGGGGAAAAAAGCAGCTGTTAGGGGACAGCCAAGGGGCTGCTTGCCTACCAGGGAAGAAAACCAGTCAACTACTAGTTTAGTCAGTATTAATTTTTGCACTTCCCTTCTTCTGGTGTGGCTGTGAAATTATTTGGACAAGTACTAGTGAGGCTTTATATGCATTATTGTGCACAGTCTGGGTTACTTGTACTGAAGAAAATAATGTAAACATCTTGTGTACAGACTGCAGTACCTGGGGAACGAAAATTCTGGTGGATGAAGAAAAACCAACGGCCCTTGGATGGGTCAGCAACTGCATGCTGAGGAGGAGTGCCTCTCCTGTCTTCCCCTCGCACAACACAGAGCAGCTGTGTGAGCTGACAGAGAGCATTCCACAGCACAAATCAACAGGAACACTGTACTGGAAATCAGAAAAAAAATTTGCAAACTATTAGCGCAGCTCTGGAAGATGTTTTTCTGTAGCAGCAGAGAGGAAAGTGCCCTCTGTGAGCTTGTGAAAGGAGGGAACGGAGACAACTGGCCTCAGCAGCAACAATTGCATCTGTCAAATAGTAAAGGAACACCCTTCAAGGTGTATGCTAAGGCAACGGGGAGGAGCTGTGTGATAGCCAGGCATTTACTCTTTCACGTTCTAGGTCACCAAGAAACTCCCTGCTTATGCAAGCAGGCACTCTGCTGAAATTGTCAGTGTTACTGGGGAGCAGGGAGGGCAGGAGGGGGTGTGAACAGGGAAGCAGAAACACTGTCTCTGGGAAAGGTAATTCAGCTCTGGCGTGTGAGTTGATGTCGTGCAGTGCCGGGAGGAACGGCAGATGGAAATGGATGCAGACAAGGAATGCTGAGTAGCAGCAGCAGGAACCAGCAGAAACTACCAAATAGCAAAGACTGGTAGAAAATTTCCTGATGTTATCAGATGGAGCCAGCTGAAAAGTCATTTGGGAGAGGTGGAGTTGGAGATAGGGCAGGATTTCAGATCCGTGTGGGGTAAACAACACAGCGTGAAAAAGGTATTTTGATTCCACAGGATCTGAAATTGGAGACAACAATGAAAAGGATAAGGCTTCATTTAAATTTCAGCACGTGATGTGCTTGTGTCAGAATAATACCCAGAAAACACTGAGTGGAATAAGGGATTCCAGATTTGTAGTTACAGGAGAGCAAAACTAGACATAGATGAAAATGTGCAGCTGCTGTACACCTCTGCACATCCGTGGCAAGCACAAGCTGCTGCACGGCTCTGCCGGCCCAAGGGTCAGGGCTGCCCAGGAGCCCTCGGGAGCGCGGCAGCACAAGTGTTGCTCAGCAGTACAGAGGGTAGGAGGAGTTTTCTCCGGAACCTTGTGCCCTCTTCCTTCGGGAGGGAGGGTGTGTCGTGGTCCTGCAGGACACACACCATGCTCCAGTCATGGAACTCGGCGGTCTGTAGGGTTGTAACAGCCCCGCTTTTCCCCAGCCGATTTGCTTTGGCTTGCCAAGGTTATACCTGGTCAACTGATGAATCTTTGGGACTGTGAGAAAACCTGATTAATTAACCTGATTGATGCCTGTGCCCTGATGCCAGGCCCAGAAGTGCAATTCCAACTATGCTTTCCTTGGTGGTCTGGTTAACACTATGCTGATGGATTTGGAGCTGATGCAGAAGGCAGTAAGGCACCCTTTCTCCCTGGAGTTCACTTACCAGACCTGTGAGAACGGGCTCCCTGTGGTCACAGAATCTTTTAGGTTGGAAGAGACCTCTTGAGATCCTCTCCCTCGCCCCTGTGGCTGAGCTCAGGATCCCTCCCATGTGTGTCCTAACAGCTCTCAATGGAAGTTTACTGCACGTTCGAGAGCATCCTTGGTCATCACTTTCTGGGTCAAGTCTGCACCCAACAATGTGCTGCTCCTGTTGTGCAGGGGTGGGGGCTGTCACAGTCTTCCTGCCCAAGCAGGGACACCTCTGCACCCTGCAGAACCGGTACCCAGTACTGCCCTGAGCACAGACTACGGGACCACGGTGAAGGCGATCAGAGTGACCTCGCTCCGCGCTAGGCAACATGATCCCTCCTGACCAGACCGAGGTGGTCCCAGGTTGGAGCGTCTCGGACAGCTGATTCACAACTTGCTCCACTTAGAGCATAGTGCCAGTATGTACTTTGCCTTGTAGCAAAGACATCTGATGGGGAGGGAGAACAGCTACCCCCATGGGGAAACCACGGGAGTTTGGCTTTGGCTCCACTGTGCGAGGTTCCCTACATGCTGCTGGAAAGTGCTTGGGCAAGGTGAGGAGTGCATGGACCTAGCTGACCAGAGTCACGTGGGAATTGTATTAAGTTTGCCCTTGTCCAACCAACTCTTCTCCACTGCTCCCAAGCCACTCCTCTGCCTCTCTGGCAGGAGGTGATGGGCTGGTTCTCCATGAGCTGGGCCTGGTGGCGGGCACTGTCAATGTTCACTCAGTGATTCAGGAGATCTAGTGCATGTGAAGGCCCATAAAAAAGTCTTCTCAGTGTCCTCCTCCACTTTGGTCAAGCCGTGTCCTCGTGGTTGGAGTCAGGTGGAGACAAACTTTCTCCTGCCTGTTCTGCACGTCACTGAGCGGGGCCTGGCCTACCACTGTCCCTGTACCCATGTGGTCCCCCTTCACTGAGTCAAACTGGGGTGCCACAATGGCTGCAGAGCTAGGACAGGACTCCTACGGGGCCTTTCCTTTTGGAGGGATCACAACTTGTCTGTGCTCTGCCCCTCGACATCCTCTGCCCTGGCCTTGCTGCCCTGGCCAGCCTCCAGAAGAAACGTTAAAATTTGTTGTGGTCACAGCTACGGTTGGGTTGCTGAGTGGGCCTGGAGTCTCGCTCTGCAGAGCAGGGAAACCACGGCTTGCTCTGCACCACAGCTTGCTCTGCACCACAGCTCGGTGTTAACGAGGATTTGCAGCTGGCCGGCACCCACTGAGGGGGAGCACAGAATGACAAGGGTAAATGCTCATCCCTGTGCATGAGGTCACCCAGCCACACTGGGGCACCTGGACGTGGCTTTACACAGGGTTCCTTCACCCTCCACGTGGTCGGGTACAACACGATTCGACTTCTCACCGACACCCACGGTACCGATTGCTAATCGTAGCCAAACTTTGCAAAGCTGTGGTATTTCTGCAGCACTCCTGCTGCTGTCCAGCTGTCCCTGGAGTCCGTCGTGGTGAGTCACTGACCCCCCGAGGACGCCAGGACCCCCCCCCGAGGACGCCAGGACGCTGTGCCAGGTGATGCTGCGTGGCCCTCAGGGGCTGTCCGGGGGTGTCCTTCATCCTCCGCAGACGGCTCCCAGCCTCAGGCAGCACGGTCGCTACCTCCAGGGCCGGGCTGTCCCTC